CAGGGCAACATGGGTTTAGAACAGGTCGCTCCTGTCTGTCTCAACTATTGGATCACTACGACAAGGTCCTAAATGCACTAGAAGACAAAAAGAATGCAGATGTAATATATACAGACTGCAAAAGCCTTCGACAAGTGTGACCATGGCGTAATAGCGCACAAAATGCGTGCTAAAGGAATAACAGGAAAGTCGGTCGATGGATCTATAATTTTCCTCACTAACAGAACACAGAGAGTAGTAGTCAGCAGAGTAAAGTCCGAGGCAGCTACGGTGAAAAGCTCTGTTCCACAAGGCACAGTACTCGCTCCCATCTTGTTCCTCATCCTCATATCTGACATAGACAAGGATGGCAGCCACAGCACCGTGTCTTCCTTTGCAGATGACACCCGAATCTGCATGACAGTGTCTTCCATTGCAGACACTGCAAGGCTCCAGGCGGACATCAACCAAATCTTTCAGTGGGCTGCAGAAAACAATATGAAGTTCAACGATGAGAAATTTCAATTACTCATAGTAAACACGAGGAAATTAAATCTTCATCAGAGTACAAAACAAATTCTGGCCACAAAATAGAACGAAACACCAACGTCAAAGACCTGGGAGTGATCATGTCGGAGGATCTCACCTTCAAGGACCATAACATTGTATCAATCGCATCTGCTAGAAAAATGACAGGATGGATAATGAGAACCTTCAAAACTAGGGAGGCCAAGCCCATGATGACACTCTTCAGGTCACTTGTTCTATCTAGGCTGGAATATTGCTGCACACTAACAGCACCTTTCAAGGCAGGTGAAATTGCTGACCTAGAAAATGTACAGAGAACCTTCACGGCGCGCATAACGGAGATAAAACACCTCAATTACTGGGAGCGCTTGAGGTTCCTAAACCTGTATTCCCTGGAACGCAAGCGGGAGAGATACATGATTATATACACCTGGAAAATCCTAGAGGGACTAGTACCGAACTTGCACACGAAAATCACTCACAACGAAAGCAAAAGACTTGGCAGACGATGCAAGTTGATGCAACATTCCCCCATTGAAAAGCAGGGGTGTCACTAGCACGTTACGAGACAATACAATAAGTGTCAGGGGCCCAAGACTGTTCAACTGCCTCCCAGCATACATAAGGGGGATTATCAATAGACTCCTGGCTGTCTTCAAGCAGGCACTGGACAAGCACCTAAAGTCCGTACCTGACCTGCCGGGCTGTGGCTCGTACGTTGGATTGCGTGCAGCCAGCAGTAACAGCCTGGTTAATCAGGCTCTGATCCACCAGGAGGCCTGGTCACAGATCGGGCCGCGGGGGCGTTGACCCCCGGAACTCTCTCCAGGTAAACTCCAAGTACACTATCTTCGCCCTAAGATGCATCAACCATTAAATATGGAAGCCGTTCAGAAGAGGTTAGCTGAAATTTATTGAACCCGGTTAACGTGGATAACAACTTCACACTCTCTTCGGCTTTCTATATAGTAGTATATCATTGATGTCAGCTAGGACTGTATACCTTGTACATGTAATTGTAGTAAATAAAGATGTTATTATTATTAATAACTCACGAAATCGTAATGACACGATTGCAAACAAGCCATACTACGGGTGGGGTTTGAACCCGCGGTCAGAATCTCAAAATTCGCGTTAGCCACTGGGCCGTCGTATGGTTTGATTATTATTATTATTATTAACTACCGCCCACAGGTCGGATATGCGGTGCATAATAAAAATATTAAACTAACTGTTATTGTCTTATTAATCTTAAGTTAGTAAGTTAGTTTAAGTTTGCCAGAAATGCTGTTCATGTAAAGGGACTTTTGGCATGTCCACCCAATTGTTTTATTCCTTTATACAAACATTTATCATGCTGAAGTAACCTATTTTTAGTCTTACCAGTCAGGTCAAACTGATTTATTTTCAATGGGAGTATAATTGTGTATAATTTTTAAACAAGTCACTTTATTGGCTCATCTGGGTTATTTACCATATAAAACCACCGTAACATTTCAAATTATGTAGACCTAAATAAAAACATAAGTTAAGAGGCCATAATTTCCCCAATCTTCTAATAACATGGTCATTTTCCCACTATAATCTACCTTGTCTATAATTACTATCGAATTTGCTCAATATATTTCATAAAGTCCAGGATCCTTCCTTAATTCATGGTATAACTTAACAAATCTTTGATGACAATTGTTGCAGAGTTTTGCTAACAACTCTTAAAATTTTTTAAGTTATACCGTAAATTAAGGAAAGATCCCAAACTTCACCTTACGAAACAGACAAAAATGTGATAGCAATTATAGATAAGGTAGATTATAGTGGAAAAATGACCATATTATCAGAAGACGAGGGGAACTTAGGTGGCTGTTAATTTGCAGTAATATAGTAGTGTGGTGGTGTTGTTGGGTCAGTAGCAACATATCCATGGCGACCATTGCTGCTCATCTCACACTGTCTTCCTCCTCTACCTTGCCCACACACCTCGTCCACTTCTTCACCCATAATGGAGAACATAATTAACAGTCAGGCGAGCACTCAGGTGAGCAGTGTAGTCAGACATTACCTCTAACATGTGTCTGGAGGAATGTCTTCCCCGGCAGTTTGTAGGTCATGTTTAGCAAAACATTCTTGACTTTTTGCTCTTGATTTATTTTTTTTTTAAGGTCGTCATGTATTTTGGGCAGCTTTACAAGCTGACTATTATTTTATACTCGGTGTGTGTTACTCATAAAAAAATCGAAATATTTTCTTAACGTTTAATGCGAGAATTTTCCGAGTTTGTGAAAATTTTGCGACTAATTCATGTGTTTATAATTTAATAATAATTATAGTAATAATAGTAGTAGTAGTAATATAATAATAATTTATTTCTACAAGTAATTGTACAGAAAATATTTATGGTTAAAGCATATCTTGAGTCGTAAGAAATAATTATTTTTAGGCGTATATAAATAACAATAATAAAATATTTTTAAAATACATGACACAACTAATACAAGCCTAGTTGACAACACTGACATAATAAATAGAAAAGCCTGCTTATGTAGAGCATTTTGGGCAACTTAAGTTAATTTTGTCCCCCAGGATGCGACCCACACCAGTCGACTAACACCCAGGTACCTACTTACTGCTAGGTGAACAGTGACAGCAGGTGTGAGGAAACATGCTCAATGTTTCACCCGTGCTGGGGTTTGATCCCAGACCCCTCAGTGTGTGGGCTTAGAACATTAACAATCAACCCATGTATCTAAAGAACAGATTTTGGAACTTTGGTAAAAAAAAAAAAATGTGAAGGTTGATAGTAAAATGGGACTGTATTTATCATTACAGTATTACCATTATCCATACATCAAGGGAAGTTGCCTGATGGTGGTGAAGGGCTCTTGATTTAAGAAGGTCACTTTTGTCCTCCCCTTCCTTTGATCAAACCTAATTGCTTCTCATTCCTGGGTACTACATGACCTCTACTGAATTAGCACTTCTCCATCAATGTAATTACTGTTATCAAGAAATTATTAATGGCATTTTTATTTTATACTTATTCAGTATCAATGAGTTGATACTGAATTTATTAGCAATATTTTCACATTAATATACACCAGTTTTTAAAATAATGATGTGGGTTCATTCACTGCTTATATCTAATGACAATATAGCTCACAGATGTGTGATTAAGCCAATGAAGCCATTTTGATTTGCTTTGATAAAAGACTGGGTGTGTGTGCATCACCTGGCTAGGATAGTTACCGTCCCATGACCTGGTTGATAATGCACCCATATCACATTGAGTGCCCGTGGTTCAGTCCCTGGCATGGGTGACAACGCTGGGAATGTTTCCTTACGCCTGTTGTCCCTATTCACTCAGCATCAAGTAGGTACCTGGTTGTTAATTGACTTGAGTCACATCCTGGGGGGACAAGATTAAAGGACCCTAACAGAAATGAGTTTCCGATGATGCACTGACTTTATTGGGTTATCCTGGATGGCTAATGCTCCTGGTTAAAAATCTGAACAGATCTTACCATATTCATATTGCCTTTTTTTTTTTTTTAAGGCTACTCTTACAGTAATTTATTTTGGCTTTGGGTACATAACATGTTTTTTTTACAATGGTATTAAGGATACAAAATGTGCATTATGTAGATTTAATAAAGGATAACTCGATAGTCATATACAAATGCAACTCTTCCATTGAATGCAAGAAATTTCAGATGGTCCCAAGTTGTTGCTTGGTTAGGAGAAATCTTCCATGTTTTCTTACTGGCTACATTTACCCACAAGAAATTTAGTAAAGTTATTGGCAGTGCTAATGTCATATGCCTAACTAAACCTAAATTATGCTGTTGGATAAATCATGGTCTTATTTTTGAGTCACTGAGCCTGCCACTTGGATATCTTGCTGACATTGGTGATTTAAAATCTTTGTGGCTTGGCTGGACACCAGTACCTAATATATAATTAACTAAAATTAACCCAGTCAAATCAGCAAGATTTATTTCTATTGAGAGTTGAAATAGGTCTGAAGAAAAGACAGGTGCAGGATTTTTTCCTTACAGGCTAAGAGCTGTTACAAGAACCCCAGTCTCTTTGACTTTTTTGGGTTATCGTAGGTAATTTACTCGTGTTAAACTATGTACAGTATGATTGTATTTGTGTGTACCTGTACCTAAATAAACGTACTATCCTACCTCGGCTTTCCAGCCCTAAGGTATACTACTACCACCACAACCACCACCACCTGAGATATGATTCACAAAAGTTGACAAATGCACAGGTACCTGCCTACTTCTAGGTTAACGGTTAGTTGGTGTGAGAAAACATGCTTAGTGGTTTCCACCTGTGCTGGGATCAAACCATGGACCTTTCAGTATGTGAGCTGAATGCACTGCCAACAAATACATGGAACATTTTTTACTGTAAAGAACATTATAATGCCAATGATTGACTTCATAATGCTCTATATACAGCAATACAATGCCAGTGAAAGCTTTCCTTGTACCTTTGCCCTTTCTTCATTACAGGTCAGCCATCACTAATCTGGCATAATTGGGACCTGTAGTGTGCCGGACTATAGAGTTTGCCGGATTACAGAGTGGTTAGGTTAGAACAGAATTAACCTATCAGTAGAGACTGCTACATCTTCCTCATTTTCATCACTGCTTTCTCCTCCACTGGCTTGCTACTGGGGATTTACAACAATCTGCACAATTTCTGAGTCGGTATAATGATGAAAGTTGAAATTATGCTAGCTGAAATTAGTGCCGGATTACTGATGGAACCGGATAACTAATTGCCGGATTAGTGATGGCCGACATGAACTAACAGTTTCCATTTAAATATGATTTCAACTCTACTGGAACAACGTGTGAAATCAATCCTGTGATAATACCTAACATGCCTATCTGCCAGATGGGTGTAGTAAGTAAACAGAGCTCTTGCTCTAACCTGGTGAAGTGGCACGTAGATCAGGGTAGCCACACAATGTAGTTGTATTTAACCCTTTGAGGGTTTTGGTCGTACTAGTACGTCTTACGCGTAGGGGTCTCAAATCTAGTGGGAGAAAGCTGGTAGGCCTTCATGTGAAAGAATGGGTCTATGTGGTCAGTGTGCACAGTCTAAAAAAAATCCTGCAGCACACAGTGCATAATGAGAAAAAAAAAACTTTGACCATTTTTTTTGAATAAATCAGCGACTTTGCAGTGTATTTTCGTATGGTATTTATTGTTGTATTCTAGTTTTCTTGGTCTCATTTTATAGAATGGAAGACATATTACAGAAATTGAGATGATTTTGACTGGTTTTACAATGAAAGGTGCCTTGAAATTGAGCTCAAAGTAGCAGAAATGTTCGATTTTTACCTAACTTCAAAAGTAAACAAATCGTGCCAAGCGTGCAATACACGTCAACTGGTGAGTCTAATATTCTTTCACAAGTGCACCAATAATATTTATACCATTTTTTACACTGCAGTAGTCTGCATAACAGTAAATCTTATATTTTTTGTGAGAATAAAAATTCAAAGTGGAAAGCAAAAGAATATAAGAGGGGCCTTGAGACGTGACTAATGACTAGAGGAAATGTCATTTTAGTGTCAGGAATGTCTTTCTTGTTTATTCTGGACCCTATTCGGAAATTGGCATCTTTTGAAATTTGTGTGAAATTGGCAAAATTGCTAAATTCTGACCACTGTACTGGATAGTTGAATTTCATAAATGGGTGGTTTCTTGCACCCATTCGATAGAAAAAATGGAGTTCTAGCGAAATATTCATGTTTTTTGTCGACTAGTACAGCGAAATTGGCCGAAAATGGGGCTCAAAGTGGGCAAAATCGCCGATGCGTAAACATCGCCGAGACCGCTAAATTTGCGAGAGCATAATTTCGTAAGTTTTCTATCAAATTTCAAACTTTTGGTGTCTTTATGATCAGGAAAAGATTCTCTATCTTTTCATAAGAGAAAATAATTTTTTTTTTTTAAACTTGGCCGACCCTGAGAACGAGTTTCGGAGAGGGCCTGTCGACCCTCAAAGGGTTAAAAAGCACCAAACCAATCAATGTAACCTAAATAAATATCTGTGGGGAACTTTTTGAACATGACTAATATTTTGAGGATTTAACACTTTGCCATTTCCAAATCTCTTCAGATTTGATAGTCAGGGTTATCCTATGCTCTGAACTCTCCTTAGAGGAGGAACCTAGATACTAGTGAGGGGCTCTTGATCTAAGGAATTGGACATGCCTTCCTTTTTCTTGGATCAAATCTGAATTCTTCCCATTCTGCCAGGTGCTGTATGAACTCTACAGGTTCCCTGTGAATATAATATGCTTTGAACTTGCCTCTAAACCTTATCTAAGTCTGATTATTACCAGAATTACGATCATGTCTATTGAGCTATAGATATTTGGAATCAGCAGAGTACAAGAATTCTAGTGATTTATTTTTCTAGTTCTAGAATTTCATGTTTTTCTTGACCTGGTCTCGAGGTCACTGTATAACCTCTGGGAGTATATCCGACAAACAATTATTTAACTAAAAGTAAAGGCTGATGTATTTGCTACAACAAACTACAATAAAAATTTGTATATATGCTTGCTTTTGTTACAGTAAGGTCCCAGAACATAAGTACATACTATATATTTGCTTAGTTTATGAAAGTACATTGGGCCCCCGGTTAACGATATTTTTTCATTCCAGAAGTATGTTCAGGTGCCAGTACTGACCGAATTTGTTCCCATAAGGAATATTGTGAAGTAGATTAGTCCATTTCAGACCCCCAAACATACACGTACAAACGCACTTAAATAAATACACTTACATAATTGGTCGCATTGGGAGGTGATCGTTAAGCGGGGGTCCACTGTACAGTATGCAAACCTTCACTACACTACCATGCTCAGTGTGCTGGGTCAAGTGTGAGGTCATATGTGAAGTGATATCTCAGCCTTATAAGCCTTCTGCTGTCCTATTATTTTTACAGTTCCTTGATAATGTGAGAAATCACGAAAGTGTTTGGAAATTAAATATTTTTATCTGGTTATTTAGCATTTTGTGATATTATTGTATGTAAGTACAATACATGTATATATAGAAATGCCTGTGCATATACAGTTAGTTTCTTGTAGCTAATACTGTGTGATAAATGGTTTTGAAAACCGACACGTTGATGATTGAGACACTTGTGCAACACGTGGGAATCTTCATTAAGGAAACGTTTTGCCTCACAGTGGCTTCATCAGTCCAATACAAAGTAGGAATGTCTATGCATATACAGTTACTTTCTTGTAGCTAATACTGTACATTAATCTTTATTTTTAGTTTAAGAATTTATTTGTCAGATACCCAAGTCAGTGACCCCTGGTGTAGGTGAAGGGGTCAAACATTCAGTGTTTGATCTAGAGAAATAAAACTTGCATTCAGCTGATTGGCTTGAGGAAGGGCCTGGTAAGAGTAAATTTTCCTAAATAAAAGTTGCCTGTACATTACACATTTCTATACATTTCTCAGTATAAGTTAAATTGTGTGAAATACTGTACAAAAATTTAAATGCTAGTGAAGTAAGGTTTAATAGTCAGTTGGAAATATAATAATATATTACCTATAATACCTAGTCTTTTTTGAGATACTTCAGTTAAGATTTTGCTGAATAGGCTGTCATTCTGAAATTTTAGTTTCTTGGAAATCTAAAATTTTTACAATGAGACAATTTCTTGCAGATGATAATTAATATTCTTTGAATTTGTGCTTGTAGCTACATTGTTTTTCCATTTGTATTAGCAATTTTTATTGGAAACATTGTCTTTAACTGTACCCTATTTTGCCAATACTGCAGTAAAAAAAAAAAAAAAATTTGCTTTGCAGGGGCTCCGGGAAACTCAAGAAGTACTTACTGGTACCTTTGATTATCCAGATACAGAGAGTATATGGGGCAGACTATTTTCTGTAAGGGAGAATGTGTCCATATGCAGTAAGTATTAACTATTTTTATTTGCATTTATTATTACTACATAAATAGGTAGGCTGTGTTAAATTTCATAACCTTTTGTAATGGCTTGATAATTGTCTATACTTGCCTCATCATTTGATGTGGTCTGAGTTTCAAATACATTGTAAGTGATCCAGACCTTTGATTTATCACATCTTCAGCAGACACAGGAAGACATCTTTTGCTGGGTTCCTTTTCATTCTGGTGTTGAGGGCAATGAATCTACAGACTTCTGCATGTTATGCATTCAAATACAGTGGAACCTCGGTATACGACCAGCTCCCTACTCAAAGCTCAGCACTCTACCAAACAAATACGACCTGCCAGAACTTCGCTGTAAACTATTTCGTGTTTCTTCACATTTTTTTTTAGGTTTTCTTGTATTGTATAAAAGTCACCAAGGGGCCTATGATGATTAGTGATAACCAACCAAAGAGAAAATTGGTTGGGAAGTACGTACTTGTTCAATACTCAAACAGAGCTGTACTCGAACAGCCTTCTGGAATGAATTAAGGTCGTATACCAAGGTTCCACTGTGCCTTGTTAAATCCCACAGTATATCATATTTTTTAAATGAGCTTGGCACTTGTATGATGACTGGCATTGTTGTTGGTGTGAGTGTGACTTAACAAGCTGTTGTTAAATTTAAGTTGGACTTTTGGCCATCTTCATGACTCGTCTGCATAACCCCCGCAAGAGTTAATTGCTTTATTACCTTAGGTGTAATAATAATGATAAAAACACTGTTAGCTGATGACAGGATTACATAAAGTACTGTTGAGTATATTGTACAATATTATGTTTTTTGGGACTGTTACACATATAAGGTTTGTAATAGTGTGCTTATCATGATTAAATTGCTGAGCTATATTAAAATATTATTGTACAAAGAATATTCTTGATTTCGCACTTTTTTTTTTTTTTTTTTTTTAACTGGCTGTCTCGCATCAAGGCAGGGTGACCAAAAAAAGTGAAGAATCACACTCCACTCGCTTGCTCCATCACTGTCATGCCAAAGGGATGCCGATACTATGGTTCAAAACTGCAAATATCCCCACCCTCTTCAGAGTGCAGGCACTGTGCTTCCCATCTCCAGGACTCGAGTCTGGCTAACCGGTTTCCCTGAATCCCTTCATAAATGTTACTTTGCTCACGCTCCAACACCATGTCAAGTCATAAAAACTATTTACCTCCACTTGCTTCTGTCTAACACACTCATGCATGCTTGCTGGAAATTAAGCCCCTCACACAAAAAACCTTCCTTACTACATTTGTTTCTCACCAAGGCAGGGTAACCCAAAGAAGGAAATGCATGCTCCATAACTTGTTCAGCAGCTTGTCAAAGTTAGTACAAATCACATAAATGTACATACTATTAAACACATCTTATACTGTATTTACTGCCAACAAATGCAAACAGTGTTTAAATAACTAAGCTAATTATTTTCTAATACCTCTAAACCAGTTATTCAAAATAAACACTTGGCTGTTCAGCAAAGACAAGACATTTTGCAAAATGAGATTTCATTGAAACATTTCACTGTGTAGGGAAAAACTACCTAAGAGCTTGTTCTGTAATATTTCTTTTCTACTGTCAGCCATAAACCAGTTGAATCCAACTTTACTGTGCAGTAAGTAATTATTAAGATGGTTTTTTGTACAGTGGAACCTCGGTGTTCGTATGCCCCAGTTTTTGTAGGATTTGGTTTTTGATCACTTTTTCTGTCAAAATTTTATCCCAGTTTTTGTACATTGCCTCGTTTTTGTAGAGTTGACAATGGTCCATACCAAACGCGTCTGCCTGCCCGCCCGTGTCACTCGGCCACTGAAGCACCGAGTGACTCGGTCTGCCTTTGTTTGTTGTTGAGTGAACATCACTCCACATGAGAGATAGTGTTTTGGAGTCAATAATTTGCAAAAAGGCAAGGCAGTTGATAGGTTGAGGCTGACCCTGACCCTGACGACCCTATTCCTGTTGTGGAATCTATTGTGTCTTTGGGAAAGTCCATCGGGTTGGATGCGAGTGGCCAGGATGTGGAAGAGTTGATGGACGACCACAGGGAAGAGCTAACCACTGAAGAGCTGCAACACTTTCAACTGGAACAGCAACAGATCGCAGCTGAGGAAATTGTATCAGAGGAGGAGGAAGAGAGGGGAGAATGTGCCTTCTTCAGTGATTAAGGACATGTGTGCAAAGTGGAGTGAGTTGCAAAGTTTTGTGGAGAAATATCACCCTAATAAAGCTGTTGCAAACCATGTCTGCAACATGTTCAATGACAGTGCCTTGTCCCATTTTAGGCAAATCTTAGAGACAGAAACAGACCTCTCTGGACAGATTTTTTGTGCAACAGGGGTACAGTGAATCTCAAGCTGGCCCTAGCCTCAGTAAAAGACAAAGAAGGGAAGTAACCCTGGATAGAGCCTTGATACCTGAAGTCCTTATGGAAGGGGATTTCCCTTCCAAACAATAACCTCTCCTCCCTCTCCCCTCCTCGCCATCTTCCATACGCCAACAAGTCTTCAGTAAAGTGAAAGTGATGTTAAATGTTCATTTATCCATTTCATTAGTCATTTATATTTATCTCATTGTTTTCGGTATGTAAAACTTTAGTTATTCTCTATAAAATGTATTTTTTGTTAATATTTTTGGGTGTCTGGAAAAAATCAGTTGGATTTACATTATTTCTTATGGGAAATATTGCTTCAGTTTTCGTACAGTTCGGTTTTCGTCAGACTTTCTTGAACAAATTAATCTTGAAAACCGAGGTTCCACTGTACAAATTTAATTTGTTCTTATTGGTAATTTTCATTTTATCCTTAATTTTGTTTACTCTGTTAATGACTGAAAGGTTTGGTTATATACAGTGGCTTACCTCTAAATTACCCACTGTTGTCTGTCAAAAGTAACTTTTTTTTTGTAGAATGGTCATTTACATATTTTAAAGAATGTGGTTACATGTAATAGCTTTTTTTATATATACATGTATACACATTTTCCATCAGATGTTGCATTCCAGAGCAGTCAATAAATATCTTATTGAAAAATAAAAGCTGCATGATGATAGTTATTATTGCTAAAAATGCAATTAAATTTTGCTTTGTTGTGGGTTGTATTTTAAATTTTTCATCAAATTTATAGACACTCGGTAAATTCATTAACAAAATTTTCAGTGAGAACTCTTAACATGAAGATTCAGACAATCAGTTAATCAGAAGTGTACTAGTTTCTTTTTGGCAGAGTACTAACAGTGAGTGATCAGTAAACATGCTTCCTCAGGCCATGAGGAACTTGACTCGTTTAACCCTAAGGCATAAGATGTCATTTTCAAGGGTGAAAGGAGTGCATTGATGGTGATGAAATGTTCTTGAGGCTTTTTATTAATGATCTAAGGCATTGGAGCCATGGGGCTAGCTTGTTATGTATAATTAACTCGCCTAACAAATCCAGTTGAAGTGATATTTCATATGGTGTAGCTGCTGGGCTGTGATCCCTGGCAGATAGTTAATGTATTTGGACCTGCATTCCAGTTCTTTGAATCAGTCCTGAATATCTTCTATTTCCCTAGGTACTGTATAAGCCCTGTGGGTTTAGCACTTTCCCTCAAAAGTAGAATGTTTAGATTTTAGGACAAGTGTAGACCTTTTGATTTTTATTAAAGTACTGAAGCAAAAATGTTTCCAGTAATTAGATATCTGAAGGGTCATTTAATTTTTTATTTATTTTTCCAAGTTATTCATGAGTCCCACATTATTTTAAAATGTAAATTGTAGGGTCAGATCTCAGACAATCCTCATTTGTCATTCATAGCAATTAGTGTTTTCATTACTTCATATTTGTGTTTATAAACATATTTTGCTGAATATAATTACAATACAGCATTTACTCTACTCTATTGAGTTTACATTTTAATTCTTTTTCAGACTTAATCAACAATTCGTATACATTTGGTAGAGGCGATGCTGATTATCGCTTCAGCAAAGATCATTTTGACAGCACTTTCCTTTCTGCCATCTCTAAAGTACACTTCAAGTAAGTCTCCATACTAGCAGTTGGCCTAGTTGTCCATGAAGTGATAAAAAAATGAAGGGACAGACTTAAAATTTTGACTTGGTAGGATATTTCCCTGTAATACACAAGTGCTATAAAAGATGTATGTACATATTTGAAGTAGAGAAGCACATAAACTTTGTATTCCACCTTCCTCTTGCTATTACCCTAGCTACCACAGTACTAGATGATCTGACATATCACTGGTGTTTCTAAAGCATGTACAGTACAGCTTGAATTCTGCTCTTTAACCTTATTCTTTTTTTAACACGTCTGTAGTCTCCCACCGAGGCAGGGTGACCCAAAAAGAAAGAATCTCCAAAAAGAAAAAAACTTTCATCATTCAACACTTTCACCTCACTCATACATAATCACTGTCTTTGCAGAGGCACTCAGATACAGCAGTTTAAAAGTCAATCTCCAAACTGCCAATATCCCAAACCCCTCCTTTAAAGTGCAGGCATTGTACTTCCCATTTCCAGGACTCGAGTCTGGCTAACCGGTTTCCTTGAATCCCTTCACAAAATATTATCCTGCTCGCACTCCAACAACTCGTCAAGTCCCAAAAACCATTAGTCTCCATTCACTCCTATTTAACGTACTCACACATGCTTGCTTGAAGTCCCAGCCCTTCACCCACAAAGCCTCCTTTATCCTCTCCCTCCAACCTTTTTGAGGACCCCTACCCCTCCTTCCTTCCCTTACAGATTTGTAAGCACACCAAGTCATTCTACTTTGATCCATTCTCTCTAAATGACCAAACCACCTCAACCCCTCTTGAGCCGTCTGACTAATACTTTAGTAACTCCACACCACCTAATTTCCACACTCTGAATTCTCTGCATAATATTTACACCACACATTGCTCTTAGATAGGACATCTCCACTGCCTGCAGCCACCTACTCACTGCAACATTTGCAGCCCAAGCTTCACACCCATATAAGCGTGTTGGTACCACTATACTTCAGTACATTCCCTTCTTCGCCTCCATAGAAAACTGTTTTTTTTTTTTGTCTCCACAGATACCTCAACACACCACTCACATTTTTTCCTTCATCAGTTCTATGGTTAACCTCATCCTTCATAAACCCATCAGCTGACAGGTCACCTCCCAAATATCTGAAAACATTCACTTCTTCAATATTCCCTCTATCCAATGTGATATCCAATTTTTCTTTTTTAAATCGTTTGATAGCATCACTTTACTTTTATCTATGTTCACTTTCAACTTTCTACCTTGACACATGCTCCCAAACTCATCCACTAACCTTTGCAATTTTTCTTTAGACTCTCTCATAAACACAGTATCATCAGCAAAAAGTAAATGTGTCAACTCCCATTTTGTCTTTGATTCCCCATAATTTAATGTAGATGAATGGCTGCACATTTTTTTTTTATTCTCAACAAGTCGGCCGTCTCCCACCGAGGCAGGGTGACCCAAAAAAGAAAGAAAATCCCCAAAAAGAAAATACTTTCATCATTCAACACTTTCACCTCACTCACACATAATCACTGTTTTTGCAGAGGTGCTCAGAACACAACAGTTTAGAAGCATATACGTATGAAGATACACAATATATCCCTCCAAACTGCTAATATCCCGAAACCCCTCCTTTAGAGTGTCTAATTCATAATTTAATCCCACCCCTCTCTCCAACACCCTAGCATTAACTTCTTTACAACCCAAATACATTAATATATTAAACAACCATGGTGACATTACATATCCCTGTCTAAGACCTACTTTTACCAGGAAGTAATCTCCCTCTCTCCTACACACCCTAACCTGAGCCTCACTATCCTCATAAAAACTCTTTACAGCATTTAGTAACTTACTGTCTATTCCATATACCTGCAACATTTGCCACATTGCTCCCCTATCCACTCTTATCATACGCCTTTTCTAAATTCATAAATGCAATGAAAAACTTTCCCTACCTTTATCTAAATAATGTTCACATATACAGTGGACCCCCGCATAACGATTACCTCCGAATGTGACCAATTATGTAAGTGTATTTATGTAAGTGCGTTTGTATGTGTATGTTTGGGGGTCTGAAATGGACTAATCTACTTCACAATATTCCTTATGGGAACAAATTCGGTCAGTACAGGCACCTGAACATACTTCTGGAGTGAAAAAATATCGTTAACTGGGGGTCCACTGTACATGTATGCTTTAATGTAAACACTTGATCCACACATCCCCTACCCACTCTAAAGCCTCCTTGTTCATCTCCAATCCTACTCACTGTCTTACCTCTAATTCTTTCAATAAAAACCCTACTGTACACTTTACCTGGGATACTCGATAAACTTCTTCCTTCTTTCAACAAACCGGCCATATCCCACCGAGGCAGGGTGGCCCAAAAAGAAAAAAAATTTCTTTTTTTTTTTTCAATTTAGTAATTTATACAGGTGAAGGGGTTACTAGCCCCTTGCTCCCGGCATTTTAGTTGCCTCGAACAACACGCATGGCTTACGGAGGAAGAATTCTGTTCCACTTCCCTATGGAGACAACCATTTAAAAGGGACAAGAAGGAACAGATCACACAGACCTTGGGAAGCAAACCAGGGTAGTTACAACTACTCCAGAGAAAGAGACTTTTTAGTGCCAGGAAGAAGAAAAACCTGGCAGGAAATGGCAGAAATACTACACCTCAGAGCACTATTGGAGTGGAGGCAGTTATTGGCCTCCACTCTAGATCAACATTTATTAGTGCCAGCAAACAAAGCCCCCTACATACCATCAGTACTACAACTTCGTCTTTCCAAGGTGCACAGATGTGACAATTCAGATGTAACTCCAAACAGCCAGTATCCCAAACCCCTCCTTTAAAACTGAATGTTTTAATATTGGGTGGTGACACTTTGGAAGTGTCAGTGGTGATTCCGTGATTAGCGATGAATTTGGGGACTTAGGCCCCTAACTCCGTCGTTAAGTGAGGAGAGGCTGTATTTATATTGTTTATTATGTCATATTAGATCAATTGTGATAGTTAAATAAGCCATAGTGTTGATATTAGCATAATAAAGCATATTTCCCTTTATCACGAGACTGAACTCATGGCAGCTGACAGTGGCTTTAAAGCCACCTCATCTTTTATGGACAGTGTACTGTGTATGTACTTTACACAATGAGAAGCATTTCTTTTATTCATTGGAACCATGGCTAGGGCTAAAATATAAGCAGGTTATAACAATAAATGGAGAAAAAGAAATTGGAATGACTTGTGCAGCAAGTAGCACCACCAAGACTACAAGACTAGAAAATATGCTGGACCTCATCTTCACTAACAAGGATGATCCGATATGTAATATAACCGTATCAAAGACAATACACTCGGATCACAACATAATAGAGGTACAGATATGTATGCACAGGGCTTCTGACCAGCAAAATGTGAGCAGTCATGAAGGTCTCTTCATGAAATTGAATTTCAATAACAAAAACATACAATGGGATCAAGTAAAGCATGTCCTAAATGAAACAAGCTGAGAAGACATCGTAAACAGCATGGATCCAAGCATTTACCTTGAAAATATTAATTCGGTGGTTCTTGAGATCTGCTCAAGACACATTCCATTAAGAAAAAGAAAGAGAAGATGTAAACTAGAAAGAGAGACGCTCCTTATATAGATGAAGACGAAGAGTCACAGAGCTGCTGAGTGGGACCAATATATTGGAAATGCGAAGGGAGGCACTAGTCAATGAAATTGCAAATATTGAACTTAGGCTGAAGGAATCTTACAGGAGACAAGAATCACAGGAAGAACTTAAAGCCATAAAGGAAATTGGAAAAAAAAAAATACTTCTCTTATGCAAAATCTAAGGAAGAACAACATCCAGTATTGGGCCCCTGCTTAGGTGGGATGGGACATACACAGATGACAGCCAAGAAATGAATGAGATACTAAAGTCCCAATATGACTCGGTGTTCAGCGAGCCACTGCCCGGACTAAGGGTCGACAACCCAAATGAATTCTTTATGAATGAAGCCCAAAATTTGGACATGCCAAAAATCTCAGATATTATCCCAACTCCACAAGACTTTGAAGAGGCAATAAATGACATGCCCATGCACTCTGCTCCAGGCCCAGACTCATGGAACCCCGTGTTCATCAAGAACTGCAAGAAGCCCCTATTGCATGCCTTCAGCATTTTATGGAAAGGGGCATGGACACAGGGGTCATCCCACACACACTAAAAACAACAGACATAGTCCCACTTCACAAAGGTGGCAGTAAAGCAATTGCAAAGAACTACAGACCGATAGCACTAACATCCCATATCATAAAAATCTTTGAGAGGGTTCTAAGAAGCAAGATTGCCATCCACCTAGATATCCATCAATTGCACAACCCAGGGCAACACGGGTTTAGAGCAGGTCGCTCCTGCCTGTCCCAACTACTAGACCACTATGACAAGGTCCTGGATGCTGTAGAGGATATATAAAATACAGATGTTTTATACACAGACTTTGCAAAAGCTTTCGATAAGTGTGACCATAGTGTAATAGCACACAAAATGCGGGATAAAGGAATAACAGGAAAAGTTGGTAGATGGATCTATAACTTTCTGACAAATAGAACACAGAGTAATAGTAAACAGAGTAAAGTCCCAGGCAGCCTCTGTAACAAGCTCTGTTCCACAAGGCACAGTACTCACTCCCATTCTATTCCTCATCCTCATTTCTGACATAGAGATGTAAGTCATAGCTCCATGTCTTCCTTTGCGGATGACACCTGGATTACCATGACAGTGACCTCCATCGAAGACACCGCGAGACTCCAAGTGGACATCAGCCAAATCTTCGAATGGGCCACTCAAAACAATATAAAGTTCAGCGAGGGGAAATTTCAACTACTCAGATATGGGAAACTTGAGGAAATTAAAAATGTATCAGGGTATATGACAAATTCTAACCATACAATAGAGTGGAAAAGTAATGTGAAGGACCTGGGAGTGATAATGCCAGAGGACCTCATCTTCAAAGACCACAACAATGTATCTACCTCATCTGCTAGGAAAATGGTAGGATAGATAATGAGAACCTTCAAAACTAGGGACACCAAGCCCATGATTCTCTTCAGATCGCTTGTGCTTTCTAGGCTGGAATACTGCTGTAAACTAATGGCGGCATTGCAGATCTGGGGAGTGTACAAAGAACTTTCACGGCACATATAAGCATGATAAGGCACCTAAATTACTGGGAACGGTTGAAGGTCCTTGATCTGTATTCCCTGGAACGCAGACAAGAGAGATGCATGATAATATACACTTGGAAGGTCCTGGAGGGATTGGTACCAAACCTGCACACGAAAATCACTCCCTATGAAAGCAAAAAACTCGGCAGGAGATACAACATTCCTCCAGTGAAAAGCAGGGGCATAACGAGTACATTGAGAGAACACAGTAAGTGTCCGGGGTCTAAGACTGTTCAACTGCCTCCCAGCCTACATAAGGGGGATTACCAATAGACCCCTGGCTGTCTTTAAAAAGGCACTGGACAGGCACCTAAAGTCAGTACCTGACCAACCGGGCTGTGGTTCGTACGTAGCTTGCATGCGGCCAGTAGCAACAGCCTGGTTGATCAGCACCTGATCCACCGTGAGGCCTGGTCTCAGACCGAGCCGGAGGGGCGTTGATCCCCAAAACCCTCACCAGGTAAACCAAACAATAGCAGCAGGTTGGTGTGGTGACCCTGGAAATTTGAAATTATGCTAGCCGAAATTAGTGCCTAATAATTGACGGAACCGAATAACTGATTGCTAGATTTGTGTTGGCCGACCTGCGTTTACATTTATAAACTTACTATACTGTAACCCAATTAATTATTTCTTATAATTGTGTACAATGATATGCCCTCATAGTCTTAAGATAGGATTTTGATTGTCAGAAATGCTCTGCATAACTGTGGGCTTTCAACATGCTCTAGTGTCGCACATTTTTCTGTAAACATTGTATCATGTTGAAATAAACTTTTATGTATTTTTAAATGGCATGTGTATTCTTTTGCAGAGTATCTCGAGAATGTAAATCAAATTCAGAGGTGGTGGTGGTGCTCGAGGATCTGTCTTGCAATGGTACCTTTGTCAACAAACATCAAGTTGGCAAAGGTAAAAAGATTGTGTTACAGAGCAATGATGAGATTTCTCTGGCACACGCTAATAAAAAAGGTAATGTATTTTAACATTAAAGTGCAGCACTATAGTATGGACACCATTTTAAGTGTAACACAAATAAGCTAAACGTTTATTTGTTGGGATTATAAGTATAATATAAAGGTTGGTCAGACAACTGGTAAAACACGCATAGATAAAAACACACCACTGCTGAAGTGTCTGAGACTGAAATGTGCAAAGCTTTTGTACCACATGTTAGTTTCTGTCTGTGGGATTTGCCTGGTAGGGTTATTTGATAGGGTGGTTACTCTTCCGTAATTTCATATATTTTTTTTTCTATCAAACTGGCCATATTCCACCAAGGCAGGGTGACCTAAAAATAAAAATAAAAGTTTCTCATTTTAATTATAGTAACTATAGTAATGTATACAGAGGCTTATGGAGGAAATATTCTGTTCCACTTCCCCATGAAGATAACAGGAACTTACAATATGTTTAATGTGCTGAAATTATTAGTAATTACATTACACACTTTTATACAGTACATTTAAAGTGAAAATTGTATTTTCATTCAAGAATCGGTACTCTTTTTCTTTCTTCTTTCAACAAACCGGCCATATCCCACCAAGGCAGGGTGGCCCAAAAAGGAAAACAAAAGTTTCTCTTTATAACTTTAGTAATGTATACAGGAGAAGAGGTTACTAGCCCCTTGTTCCAGCAATTTAGTTGCCTCTTACAACGTGCATGGCTTACCAAGGGAGAATTCTGTTCCACCCATGGAGATAAGCAGAAATAAACAGGAACAAGAACTAGTAAGAGAAATAAACTCAGAGGGATGTGAGTATATATATGCTTGTACATGTGTGAGTAGTGTGACCTAAGTGTAAGTAAAGTAGCAAGACATACCTGGAATCTTGCATGTTTGAAAAAGAAAAAAGATGCCAGCAATCCTACCATCATGTAAAACAATTACAGGCTTCCATTTTACACTCGCTTGGCAGGACGGTAGTACCTCCCTGGGAGGTTGCTGTCTACCAACCTACTACCTAGGAATTACATAATATTAAGATTAAAAGCCTCTCCAGGGAAGATCTAAAATTTATATAACTGTTTATATAAAATGGTCTGTGCTAGCTAAGAAAGTTTGCATTTCTCGCTTAAGCAAAATTCCTGTTTGTCAGTATCAACCTATCAACTCTGATTGCAGGAATTGTAGCAGGAAGAGGTTAGTAGATAGCAATCATCCAAAGATGTTCTCCCATTTTCATACAAGTGTGAAACAGAAATCTTTTTAAAGCTTTGCACTCTAAGGGTTTCTAGCCTTTTTTGCCTCATACTTCTGCTTGAATTCAATATTCCAGTAAGTATACTTATTGTTTCTTGATAATTCCTAATACTGTAATGCATATTTCCTCTCCATCCTAGGATGCCTCCTCTGATCCCCAGCTGTGATGATGATGCTCCCTGAGCTATTAACAGATAATAGAACTTCAAAGATTGACTCTTGGTACACTAATTCAACAGCATTCTTTTAAATCACATTTAAAGACTTTAATTCTACATATTCTTTTGTAAATAAATTAGAACTTTAAAGGGCTTTTATCTATGTACTGGGTAAAGGCACTTCTTTGAATTACCTGTTTTATTCAAAATTACTAGCAGTGTGGAATAATACTGTACTAAGTCCTGATTAATATTTTTCAGTATTTGTTTTTCATGATTGCCTACAAAATGATGCTCAAAACTATCCTGAAGAACTAACTAAGAAGTATACCATGACGAAGAAACTTGGAGAGGGAAATTTTGGTGAAGTGAGATTAGCTTATAAACAGGTAATTTATGTTATTTGTTATATCTAGTGGCAATATTTTTTGATGTGATGGTATCGTACAGGTAATTTCTTTAGCACACCGGCCATATCCCACCAAGGCAGGGTGACCTGAAAAGAAAAACAAAAGTTTTTCTTTTTAAATTTAGTAATGACAGATATTTTGCACTCTTGAATTTACAGGCTAAAAGCTGCTATCTTTTGACCTCTGTTAGATATGAGCTGTGATTTTAATTTGTGTACAAGCAAACCTAGGAATCTTCTGTACCCTCTTTCTTCTTTTTAGATTTATTTATTTTTTTATTTAGTGACCTGGTTTATTCCCCAAAGAAATACAGAATTTTCTTTTTTTATTTTTATATTAAAAGTTTACATCCAGGTATAAACTTTCTAGCTCGTTATGAACTATTGTTTAATGGCAGGGGATCTGAGCACAAGATGTAAGTCATCATCAGCAAAGAGTATTGACTCTAAATGATGAGTGGTATTTAGGAAGTCATTAATGTAAGAGAGGCAAAGATAACCCAAGATACTTCCTTAACCCATAAACGGTCCAAACATATACTATATACGTTCACTACTCCAGTGCCCCGAATATTTTGAAAAAGAAAAAAAAATCATTTTTTTTTAATGTAAATAAAGAGCACATTTTTCTAAGTGTTATAGGATTAAAATAAAAAAAACTAGGCTCAGTACTTATTGAGATATGAGGCTGCAAATTGGCACGTAATGCTCACCTGACAGCAACATAGTCCTGTTGCTTGCAGAAGTGTTGCCGATATACCATTTTTTTCTTATTTTTATATTTTATATAATTTTTATTTTCTGATAATTACAATTTATTGTAGTTCTTGTCATTTCATAACCAATCTTTGTTCTGACACTTAATATTAGGTACTGAAATTGTACTCAAATTGTCACAAACACATTGACAGGTGGTCATTTACTATTGTCTAGGAATATATACAAAGTATTTATAGGTCCCAGCGATGTTTTGGATACACGGGTGTATAGAAGAAGAAGGAAGATGGAAGAAGGAAGAAGGAAGAAATTCCCTTGATGCAGTGTGCAAGACAAGTGTTCAGTGACAAGCATCCAAGCTGGCAGTGATAATGATCAGATATGAAATGACATTTGATAGGCTCCAGCGAGGGTGCAGAGATGAGATTAGATAGTGCAGAGATAAGAGGAGATAAGCTTTGACATTTGATGGGTGCCAGTGAGGGTGCAGAGAAAAGGGATGACATTTGATGAGCTTGTATCTCTGATTATCTTCCTGTCTTATTTCTCTATTTCTCTGTCTCTCTGCTTGTCTGTCTCTGTCTCAGAGAGAGCCACTGTGAACCAACAGGTATTCTTATGCATTATATCTACAAGCACAGTATAGCACTTCGGATTTCTTAGGTTATCCTAGGTAATTTACAATATGTATAATCGTATTTTCTAGGTAGTAGGTTGGTAGACAGCAGCCGCCCAGGGAGGTACTACCGTCCTGCCAAGTGAATGTAAAACGAAAGCCTGTAATTGTTTTACATGATGGTAGGATTGCTGGTGTCTATTTTTCTGTCTCATAAACATGCAAGGTTTCAGGTATGTCTTGCTACTTCTACTTACACTTAGGTCACACTACTCATACATGTACAAGCATGTATATACACACCCCTCTGGGTTTTCTTCTATTTTCTTACTAGTTCTTGTTCTTGTTTATTTCCTCTTACCTCCATGGGGAAGTGGAACAGAATTCTTCCTCCATAAGCCATGCGCGTTGTCAGAGGCGACTAAAATGCCAGGAGCAAGGGGCTAGTAACCCCTTCTCCTGTATATATTACTAAATGTAAAAAGAGAAACTTTTGTTTTTCTTTTTGGGCCACCCTGTCTTGGTTGGATACGGCTGGTTTGTTGAAAAAAAAAAAAATCGTATATGAGTGTACCTGTGAGACAGACACACAGACAGAGACAGACAGACGGAGAGATAGAGATACAGATACAGAGATAGACAGAAATAGACAGATAGACCCTAAACTTGGGGTTAATATTACTTTCCTCTTAAAAGGGGAGTCTTAATATGATATTACATCAGTGAATCCTTGGTGTTTGCCAAACTGTTTGTTCCAGCTGGCACTCAATATAACTGGTGCTCCCACAAGGTACTAAGTGGTCCCAGATTTTTTTTAATACTGTGCACACCGAGTGTTAAGACCCATTCTATGCTGACCAGTCATCTCAGGCCAATCATGATAAATTTGGAAGCAGGAAAAATAAAACGTATATTTACGTTTGGGGCACTAGCGGTAAAAAGGTATACATATGTTTGGACCGTTTACAGGTTAAGGAACACCTGATTTCAATGCAAGAGTTAGTGCTATTATTTGCCAAAAGATGAGTCAAAGTTTGATTATTTTTCTACTTGACTATTGATCTGGTCTTGTAAAGTTTCACCTAACACCTTGCAAGGATGTTATATTTTTTGTAATTTACTTAATTTAAGCAAATAATTCAGTATTTCTCTTCACGAATTGTAATTACTAGTACATGTATTAATACATAATATATTTTGCCAAAGATCTTGGTATGAATGCACTAAAAATTATTTTTGTTACAGGGTTCATTAGAGAGATATGCAGTCAAAATTCTCAAGAAGAAATGTAGTCAGTTGCTTCTGAATAACATAAAACAGATCAACAATGAGATAAAGCTCCTACAGTCTGTTGATCATGTGAGCCTCATTCTGTTTTTGCTAATGTAAATATCATGTCATGTATATGTAATGTTAGGTTAATGTGAAAATGTGCTATTTAGTACTTGCTGATCATACAAAGACAGTAAAATGCATTTAGTGAGATATTTTACACTGCTTCTGAGCTACCAGATCCCAGACATTTAAGCACTTAGCAGAGAGATCACGGTGCAGGTTTCCTTAAATGTTCAGCTTATTTCTGTATTTGGTCTTTACTGCAACCAGTGCAGAAAGTGCAGCCTCGAAGATATGTATGTGCCCACAGATATCCTTAGAATCTGTACAGCTTCAAAATGTATGGATTCTGACAAAGCAAGAAAGTGCAGTCTCGCCAAAATAAAAATGAGGCAGTGAATGGTGTTGGTAGTGGTGGATAGTGGTGGTATAAAGTATGTCGTATGTTTAAAGTCTAAAGGGCTGCTGAGTGCAAGTGCCCTAATAAATGTCTCTAAGTTTCATATTTGTCCATTAACCCTTTGACTGTCGCGGCCGTATATATACGTTTTACGAGGTACCGTGTTTGACGTATATATACTCGTAAATTCTAGCCATTAGGTGTTTACAGTGAAACATATAAGTGAACAGTATTTAGATAAGGCTAAAGAGGTCTTTGTGGCATTTATGGATTTGGAAAAGGCGTATGACAGGGTGGATAGGGGGGCAATGTGGCAGATGTTGCAAGTGTATGGTGTAGGAGGTAGGTTACTGAAAGCAGTGAAGAGTTTTTACGAGGATAGTGAGGCTCAAGTTAGAGTATGTAGGAAAGAGGGGAATTTTTTCCCAGTAAAAGTAGGCCTTAGACAAGGATGTGTGATGTCACCGTGGTTGTTTAATATATTTATAGATGGGGTTGTAAGAGAAGTAAATGCGAGGGTCTTGGCAAGAGGCCGTGGAGTTAAAAGATAAAGAATCACACACAAAGTGGGAGTTGTCACAGCTGCTCTTTGCTGATGACACTGTGCTCTTGGGAGATTCTGAAGAGAAGTTGCAGAGATTTTGGGGGATGAATTTGGTAGGGGGTGCAAAAGAAGAAAATTAAAGGGAATACAGGAAAGAGTAAGGTTATGAGGATAACAAAAAAGATTAGGTGATGAAAGATTGAATATCAGATTGGAGGGGAGAGAGTATGGGGGAGGTGAACGTATTCAGATATTTGGGAGTGGACGTGTCAGCGGATGGGTCCCATGAAAGATGAGGTGAATCATAGAATTGATGAGGGAAAAAAAAGTGAGTGGTGCACTTAGGAGTCGTGAAGACAAAGAACTTTGTCCTTGGAGGCAAAGAGGGGAAGTATGAGAGTATAGTTTTACCAACGCTCTTATATGGGTGTGAAGCGTGGGTGATGAATGTTTGCAGCGAGGGGAAGGCTGGAGGCAGTGGAGATGTCATGTCTGAGGGCAATGTGTGGTGTGAATATAATGCAGAGAATTCGTAGTTTGGAAGTTAGGAGGAGGTGCGGGATTACCAAAACTGTTGTCAAGGGCTGAGAAGGGTTTGTTGAGGTGGTTCGGACATGTAGAGAGATGGAGCGAAACAGAAAAGACTTCAAGAGTGTATCAGCCTGTAGTGGAAGGAAGGCGGGGGTAGGGGGCGGCCTAGGAGGGTTGGGGGGAGGGGGTTAAAGGAGGTTTTGTTTTGCGAGGGGCTTGGACTTCCAGCAGGCAGGGGTGAGCGTGTTTTTATAGGAGTGAAATGGAGACAAATGGTTTTTAATACTTGACGTGCTGTTGGAGTGTGAGCAAAGAAAAATTTATGAAGGGAATTTAGGGAAACCGGCAGGCCGGACTTGAGTCCTGGAGATGGGAAGTACAGTGCCTGCACTCTGAAGGAGGGGTGTTAATGTTGCAGTTTAAAAACTGTAGTGTAAAGCACCCTTCTGGCAAGACCCGTGATGGAGTGAATGATGGTTTAAAGTTTTTCTTTTCGGGCCACCCTGCCTTGGTGGGAATCGGCCGGTGTGATAATAAAAAATAATAATAAATTCTAGCGGCTTCAAATCAAGCAGGAGAAAGCTGGTAGGCCCACATGTGAGAGAATGGGTCTGTGTGGTCAGTGTGCACATAAAAAAAAAAATCCTGGAGCACGCAGTGCATAATGAGAAAAAAAAACTCCGACCGTTTTTTTTTTTAATTAAAATGCCGACTTTGTGGTCTATTTTCGTATAGTATTTATGGTTGATTCTCGTTTTCTTGGTCTCATTTGATAGAATGGAAACATATTATAGAAATAGAGATGATTTTGATTTATTTAAATATAAAAAGAACCTAGAAATGGAGCTCAAAGTAGGGGAAATGTTTGATTTTTGCCAATGTTCAAAAGTAAGCAAAAGATGCCATTTTCCAGTAAATGTCCCCAAATAGCCATTCTAATATGCAGTCATGAAAAGGGTTGATGTTATTTATACAATTATTACAGTATTGCAGTAGTCCCGCATAATAGTAAGTCTTCAATTTTTTGTTTGAATAAAAATTCAAAAAAAAGAAAGCAAGAGTAATATCAGAGGGGCCTGGAAACACGACTGATGAGCAAAGAAAATGTTATTTTGAGCCAGGAATGTCTGCATTGTTCATTCTGGACCTTATTTTGAAATTGTCATATTTTTTATTTTTGGTGAAATTGGCCAAATTGCAAATTTCTGACCACATTATTAGGTAGTTGAAATCGGTAAATGGGCAGTTTCTTGTACTCAATCGATAGAAAAACATGGAGTTCTAACGAAATAGCTATGAGTTTGGGACGATGGAACAATGGAATTAGCCAAAAATAGGCTCAAAGCGGCGAATCGCCGATTTGTAAACGGCCCCCGAGGTTGCTAACTTGCGAGAGCATAATTCCGTCAGTTTTCCATCAAATTTCGTTTTTTTTGGTGTCATTACAATCGGAAAAGATTCTCTATCATTTCATAAGGAAAAATATTTTTTTTTTTTTTTTTAAATTTTGCGACACCAGGACATAAGACGTATATATACGGCCGCGACAGTCAAAGGGTTAAATAACTATTGTCAGTACTTTTTTTTTTTTTTTTTTTTTTTTTTTTTTTTTTCTCTCCTCAACAAGTCGGCCGTCTCCCACCGAGGCAGGGTGACCCAAAAAAGAAAGAAAATCCCCAAAAAGATAATGCTGTCAGCTTTCATCATCATTCAACACTTTCACCACACTCACACAGTCACTGTTTTTGCAGAGGTGCTCAGAATACAACAGTTTAGAAGCATATACGTATAAAGATACACAACATATCCCTCCAAACTGCCAATATCCCAAACCCCTCCTTTAAGTGCAGGCATTGTACTTCCCATTTCCAGGACTCAAGTCCGACTATATGAAAATAACCGGTTTCCCTGAATCCCTTCACTAAATATTACCCTGCTCACACTCCAACAGATCGTCAGGTCCCAAGTACCATTCGTCTCCATTCACTCCTATCTAACACGCTCACGCACGCTTGCTGGAAGTCCAAGCCCCTCGCCCACAAAACCTCCTTTACCCCCTCTCTCCAACCCTTTCGAGGACGACCCCTACCCCGCCTTCCTTCCCCTATAGATTTATATGCTTTCCATGTCATTCTACTTTGATCCATTCTCTCTAAATGACCAAACCACCTCAACAACCCCTCTTCTGCCCTCTGACTAATACTTTTATTAACTCCACACCTTCTCCTAATTTCCAACACTCCGAATTTTCTGCATAATATTTACACCACACATTGCCCTTAGACAGGACATCACTGCCTCCATCCGTCTCCTTGCTGCTGCATTTACCACCCAAGCTTCACACCCATATAAGAGTGTTGGTACTACTATACTTTCATACATTCCATTCTTTGCCTCCATAGATAACATTTTTTGACTCCACATATACCTCAATGCACCACTCACCTTTTTTCCCTCATCAATCTATGATTAACTCATCCTTCATAAATCCATCCTCCGACACATCAACTCCCAAGTATCTGAAAACATTCACTTCTTCCATACTCCTCCTCCCCAATTTGATATCCAATTTTTCTTTATCTAAATCATTTGATACCCTCATCACCTTACTCTTTTCTATGTTCACTTTCAACTTTCACCTTTACACACATTCCCAAACTCATCCACTAACCTTTGCAATTTTTCTTTAGAATCTCCCATAAGCACAGTATCATCAGCAAAAAGTAACTGTGTTAATTCCCATTTTGAATTTGATTCCCCATAATTTAATCCCACCCCTCTCTTGAACACCCTAGCATTTACTTCTTTTACAACCTCATCTGTAAATATATTAAACAACCATGGTGACATTACACATCCCTGTCTAAGACCTACTTTTTACCGGGAATAGTTCTCCCTCTCTTCTACACACCCTAACCTGAGCCTCACTATCCTCATAAAAAATCTTTACAGCATTTAGTAACTTACCACCTATTCCATATACTTGCAAATCTGCCACATTGCCCCCTAATCCACTCTATCATAGGGCCTTTTCCCAAATCCATAAATGAACAAAAAAACTTCCCTACCTTTATCTAAATACTGTTCACTATATGCTTCAATTAAACACTTGATCTACACATCCCCTACCCACTCTGAAACCTCCTTGCTCATCCGCAATCCTACATTGTCTTACCTCTAATTCTTTCAATTATAACCCTACCGTACACTTTTCCTGGTATACTCAATAAACTTATTCCTCTATAATTTTTATAATCTCTTTTGTCCCCTTTTGCTTTATATAAAGGGACTATACATGCTCTCCGCCAATCCCTAGGTACCTTCTCCTCCTTCATACATTTATTAAACAAAAGTACCAACCACTCCAACACTATATCCCCCCTTGCTTTTAACATTTCTGTCATGATCCCAGTACTATTACCAATAATTGCACATGTAAAACTTTTATTAAAGGAGGTGGCTTAGAACTACCTGTTACAGCTACATTCTTGATGTAGACATCCAGTTAACATGTAACAGCAACAGAATAAATTAAGATTTGTGAAATAGTGACAGATCAAAAAGAGAGTCAACCAGAAATTGTTTCCAGGGACAAGATTATTCTTTACAAAGAATGGTTTATCTGAATATAAGCATATTTTATTTCCCAATTTCATATGTACTAGTATTTTTTATATTTTCTCAGTTGATAAGTTTTCCTCTGCCACATTTATACATAAAAATGCTCACCTGCTTTGTTGATAATTTTGTGCCTCTTCTACAGCCATGTATCATCAGCCTGAAAGATGTTATAGACACACCAGAGAAGATTTATATTATCATGGAACTGGCAGAGGGAGGAGAATTATTTGACCGACTAGCATCGAATGGGCGTCTGCCTGAAGCTACTGCTAAATTCTACTTCTTTCAGCTCTCTCATGCTGTTAAGTATCTCCATACGAGAAACATCACTCATAGAGATATTAAGGTACAGTACTATGACGTAGCATAAAGGTGAAATTGTAAAATTACCACAGTAGTTACATTCCTGAAAATAGTGTTAGATGAAACAGTGTTAAAATGGGGTTATGTTCCTGGCCCCTCCCCCCCAAGCCAAACAATTTTTTTTTTTTAGGTCTCCAAATCTTACAAAAATAAGTGATTATGTAATTGTTGTTCATTGTCATTATGTATTATGTTTTTCCTATTGCTAAAGGCTTCAAATGCAACAAATATTTTTATTATTAACACATTGGCTGTCTCCCACCAAGGCAGGGTGGCCTGTAAAAGAAAAACTTTCATCACTCACTCCATGACTGTCTTGCCAGAGGTGCGCTTACACTACAATTATAAAACTGCAACATTAACACCCCTCCTTCAGAGTGCAGACACTGTACTTCCCATCTCCAGGACTCAAGTCCTGGCTTGCCAGTTTCTTTGAATCCCTTCATAAATGTTACCTTGTTCACACTCCAGCAGCATGTCAAGTCTTAAACTTTCATCTCCATTTGCTTCTATCTAACATGCTCATGCATGCTTTCTGGAAATCCAAGCCCCCCCTTCCTCACACAAAACCTCCTTTACCCCCTCCCTCCAACCTTTCCTAGGCCAACCCCTATCCCACCTTGAACTGCAGATTTATACACTCTGTCATTCTATTTTGTTTCAACCTCTCTACATGTCTGAACCACCTCAAGAACCCCTCTTCAACCCTGTGGATAATAGTTTTGGTAATTCTGCTCCTCCTAATTTCCAATCTATGAATTCTCTGCATTATATTCACACCTTACATTGCTCTCAGACATGACATCTCCACTGCCTCCAGCCTTCTCCTTGTTGCAACATTCACTACTCATGTTTCACACCCATATAAGAGTATGCATTCCCCTCTTTGCCTCAGTGGACAAAGTTCTTTTTCTCCACAGACTCCTAAGTGCACCACTCGCCTTTTTCCTCTCATCAATTCTGTGATTCACCTCATCTTTCATAGACCCATCTGCTGACACATCCACTCCTAAATATCTGAATACATTCGCCTTCTCCATACTCTCTCCCTCCAATCTGATATTCAGTCTTTCGTTGCCTAATTTTTTTTGTTGTCCTCATCACCTTACTCTTTCCTATATTCAATTTTAATTTTCTTCTTTTACATACCCTACTGAACTCAGAAACCAACCTCTGCAACTTCTCTTCAGAATCTCCCAACATCAGTTTCATCGGCAAAGAGCAACTGTGACAGCTCTCACTTTGTGTTAGATTCTTTATCTTTTAACCCTACACCTCTTGCCAACTCCTGAGCATTCACTTCTCTTACAATCCCATCTATAAATGTTGAACGACCATGGTGACATCACACATCCTTGTCTAAGGCCTACTTTTACTGGGAAATAATCTTCCTCTCTCTTACATACTCTAACCTGAGCCTCAGTATCCTCATAAAAACTCTTCACTGCTTTAAGTAATGTACCTCCTATTCCATACATTTGCAACATCTGCCACATTGCTCCCCTATCCACCTGTCATATGCCCTATCCAAATCCATAAAAGCCACTAAAACCCCTTTACCCTTATCTAAATGCTGTTCACCTATGTGTTTCACTGTAAACACTTGGTCTACACACCCCCCTACTTTTACTAAAACCTCCTTGTTCATCTGCTATCCTACTCTCTCTTACTCTGAATTCTTTCTATAATAACTCTACCATACACTTTACCAGGTATTTTCAGCAGACTTCTATAATTTTCGTGCCTAAATTGTGGTGGTGGTGATGTGGATGTGAAGGGAGTGGAGACATCTACCTCAGCCCTACTGGGCCGAGGTGGATGGTAGTCAAATCGGTAGATCGGTCAGTAAATAGCATTGAAAGAAGCTGTCTTCCCTGCAAAGACAATGGACTGACCCACAGACTGGCTGCCGGACAACCGACTATACGGAGAGGAAAAATCCTCCACTGTTTCATTTGAAATACAGGAGGGCCTCACTTTACGGTGTTTTGCTTATGCAGTGGTTTTCAGTTATACCCATTCTTCATTTATTCAAACTTCCTGCAGTAAATATATTCAGCACTTGCTATAAGCTAAGTACAAAAATACTTTAAGGTAAGAAATGTGTGCACTGTGTATGCATTTTTAAGGCCAAGCTCTACTTAATATATGATAGTGTAAACATGTTATCAGACTTTTATCTGAATTTGAAAGGGGCTATGTTTCACTTTACAGTGATTTTCACTTTATAGCAGTATCCCGGAATCTAACCTGCTATGTAAGTGAGGCCTTCCTGTAATGACTAGGTTTTTCTAGAAAGATTTTATTTGATGTTTCTTGCTGTAAATTGATAGGATGGAAGACATACTAATGAAGTAGGGATGATTTTTGGTCAGTTTCAGGACTGGGAGTAGCTTGAAATAGGGCTCAAAGTAGCAGAAACTTTTTTTTTTTTTTTTTTTCCTGAGGAAGGGTCAGCCCCCCTCCCCCCTCCCTATCCTTCCTGGTCTTTTTATGGGGTTTCATTACATCTGCTTCAATTATTAGGATGCCCTAAACTACGATCAATCATTCCTGGCTATATTTTATCTTCTGATAAGTAGAATGAACTTAAAATGGAGGGCAAGTGTAATATAGGAGAGGTCTAGAGATGTGACTGATGAACAGAGGATAGGTTTCTTTAGTGACTAATGCATCCAGTGTTTATTTTTGAACTGGTTTTATAATTGGAATTTGTTGGCTTTTGTGTAAAATTGGCCAGTTTCCAAATTGTGTGCTTTATACCATAGTTTTGATAGTTAAATGGGTGGTTTGCTCATTCAGTAGAATGGAAGGATACCTAGCAATATAGTTAAGAATTTAGTTGAGTTGGGCAATGGAACTTACTTAAAATAAGACTCAGAGGGCAAAATAGCCACTTGATAAATTGCATTCAGACCATCAACTTTTTCCTGTATAATTCTGCAAGTTCCCATCAAATTTTGTATCTTTAGTGTCAGTACCTCCTTCAGAAAATGGTTCTTCTGTTTCAGAAAAAAAATAATTTTTAGGAAAAATCACTAGTCGGCACTTAATCCCTCCCAGTGGTCATGAAAGTTAATTTAGCAAAAATTCAAACAGTGTAAAGAATTTGAATGTTATGAAATAAGAATCTTGCCATATCATGAGAGTATATTATTTGCCACTTGTTCTTCCCTGGCACTCTTACCATTATTACCTTATATAAGGTTAATCTGTGAATTTTGATTAGTGATAAAAATCCACAAGTATCTGATTCTTCTGGTGGATATCAGCTTTTTGACTTCATATCCAATGTTTGGTGGCAATGCCCCTCTTTTTCAGTTTTATTAGGGTATATATTTATATATACTTATATTTTCAGCCAGAAAATATTCTCCTTGCTACTGATGAAGCCTACACTCGTATTAAATTGACTGACTTCGGATTATCCAAGCTTGCTGCTGATGCTTCACAGATGACTACTTTTTGTGGCACACCAACATACATTGCCCCAGAATTATTACAGTTTGGGGGGCTTTCCTACAACAATAAGGTTGACTTGTGGAGTCTGGGGGTTGTGTTGTTTGTAAGGTGGGTAAAATCTCTCTGTGTCTCTATCTCTTTCTATCTCTCTTCATTTCTCTCTCTGTCTCTGTCTCCCTCTGTCTCTCTCCTGGCCATCTCTCACCGAAGTAGGGTGACCCCAAAAAGAAGCTTGCCAGCATTTATACTATCATTGTCTTGCCAAAGGTGCGTAGATGAAACGGTGTAGATGTCCCTCTAAACAGCAAATATTTCAACCCCCTTCCTTTAAGAGTACAGGCACTGCTCTTTACACTAGATATAGTTATTTAGCTATTTTTTATTACTATTATTATTATTTCTTTCTTTCAACACACCGGCCGTATCCCACTGAGGCGGGGTGACCCAAAAGGAAAAACTAAAGTTTCTCTTTTTAAATTTAGGGTTACTAGGCCCTTGCTCCCGGCATTTTAATCGCCTCTTACAGCACGCATGGCTTACGGAGGAAGAATTCTGTTCCACTTCCCCATGGAGATAAGAGGAAATAAACAAGAACAAGAACTAGAAAGAAAATAAAAGAAAACCAGAAGGGTGTGTGTATATATATATGCTTGTACATGTATGTGTAGTGTGACCTAAGTGTAAGTAGAAGTAGCAAGATGTACCTGAAATCTTGCATGTGTATGAGACAGAAAAAAAGACACCAGCAATCCTACCATTGTGTAAAACAATTACAGGCTTCCGTTTTACACTCACTTGGCAGGACGGTAGTACCTCCCTAGGTGGTTGCTGTCTACCAACCTACTACCTACATTATTATTATTATTATTATTTTATTATTTTTTTTTTTTTTCAACAAGTCGGCCGTCTCCCACCGAGGCAGGGTGACCCAAAAAAGAAAGAAAATCCCCAAAAAGAAAATACTTTCATCATCATTCAACACTTTCACCACACTCGCACATTATCACTGTTTTTGCAGAGGTGCTCAGAATACAACAGTCTAGAAGCATACACATATAAAGATACACAACATATCCCTCCAAACTGCCAATATCCCAAACCCCTCCTTTAAAGTGCAGGCATTGTACTTCCCATTTCCAGGACTCAAGTCCGACTATATGAAAATAACCGGTTTCCCTGAATCCCTTCACTAAATATTACCCTGCTCACACTCCAACAGATCGTCAGGTCCCAAGTACCATTCGTCTCCATTCACTCCTATCTAACACGCTCACGCACGCTTGCTGGAAGTCCAAGCCCTATACCCACAAAACCCCTTTAACCCCCTCTCTCCAACCCTTTCGAGGACGACCCCTACCCCGCCTTCCTTCCCCTATAGATTTATATTATTATTTATATTATTTATATTATTATTTATATTATTTATTTTATTATTATTATTTGAAAATGGTGAAACTCATGTGATCTTATTAAATGACTCCTGAAATTAACTGATTGGATCTAAAATTTACTTTGATTTTTCTTTGATTTATGATCAACTCTTAGACTATACTTGCTTTCTAAAGGAAAGGTGAGATTTTGCAATTTGGAGGGCTATTTGATCTGTAATGTTAGCATTCTTCTGGCAAGATGGTGATTGAACGAATGATGGTAAATGTGCTTCCTTGTGGTGAGAGATAGCTGCTGTGTAATATGTTAAGAGTTGCCACTGTTGCATAAAATTTTTATCTAGTAAAAAAAATTTACATGTTCATGGTGGTGATACATAAAGTACTCCCTTGCAATCTGCAGGAAATTAATTCAACAAAATTTAGCATTTAAAAATTTGCAGGTGCTGAACCTGTAGTATTTGAATAGAAAGCAGGTTATAGTCCAAGTTCTTGTGATCAGTATTCATATTATATTAGTCTAACAGCTTGTGCAATTTTGGATTGTCTGAAGTTTGTCATCTAATAGATGCATGACTTGTCAACAGGTCATAAATCTGAATGTAATTGTCTGATCAGTAGCCAGTCTTGTATGTGCAGTACTCAGAGTACCATGATTTTGGGATTTACTGACCTGGTATCCTGTGCGTCAATATAGAGCAACATTTTATGAGACACTGCTTGTGGGTTGCTAAAGTTGCTATAAAATGTGTTTAACAACACTCAGTCCCTTTGAGTGAAAAACTGTTCTAACTATAAAGCAGACCACTGAAATACTCCAAATTTCTTTGGCCCAGAAGTTTTACATGACATGTACAATATTATAAACAAATTACAAACATGGTAAGTACTAAAACTGCATGATAGGAATATCACTGTGACATTTTCAATTGGAATTCCTGAGTACCACACACTCGTATATGTAAAATTATAAGTCACCCTGTGTGTATAGCACTAGCACATTAATAACTGATTACAGTGATGTGCTACTTAATGACCAGGATTCCTTTCAGGAAGACTGACACCTTAGTGATTTTTATACAAAGTGAACCCGATTTTCCCATGGATATCAGTGTTATAATTAGATATACATTCCTTGAAATGTATTTATTTTAGACTTTACTAAAATAGTTGAACACTGGAATTAACAATACTGTACTCACTAAAGTTACTTTCTTGGGTTGATGATTGATGGATAGGTGTGGAGGAGTTGGTTCTACAGAGCTACAACTAGAGCATGTGAGGGAAGGGAGGAAGGCGAGGGGCACATTAAGCAAAATAAAGGAAGCGGGTTAGTGGAAATATGGCATCCACTTTGGGTTTAGTGTTCAAATTGATATTATTAATAGTGGGAATATGGAGGGGCTGTTATTAAAGATACATTAATCATATAATGGATACACATCCTGTAGAGGGCTGTACAGTAGCTATAGTCTTGGGGGTTGTCATAGATGTAGAGGGACTATTTTTTTTTTTTTTTTTTATTATCACACCGGCCGATTCCCACCAAGGCAGGGTGGCCCGAAAAAGAAAAACTTTCACCATCATTCACTCCATCACTGTCTTGCCAGAAGGGTGCTTTACACTACAGTTTTTAAACTGCAACATTAACACCCCTCCTTCAGAGTGCAGGCACTGTACTTCCCATCTCCAGGACTCAAGTCCGGCCTGCCGGTTTCCCTGAATCCCTTCATAAATGTTACTTTGCTCACACTCCAACAGCACGTCAAGTATTAAAAACCATTTGTCTCCATTCACTCCTATCAAACACGCTCTCACGCATGCCTGCTGGAAGTCCAAGCCCCTCGCACACAAAACCTCCTTTACCCCCTCCCTCCAACCCTTCCTAGGCCGACCCTACCCCGCCTTCCTTCCACTACAGACTGATACACTCTTGAAGTCATTTTTGTTTCGCTCCATTCTCTCTACATGTCCGAACCACCTCAACAACCCTTCCTCAGCCCTCTGGACAACAGTTTTGGTAATCCCGCACCTCCTCCTAACTTCCA